ACTCTTAATTTGTGTAACATGTAACAAACAATATATATAATTATAATTTATATGTATTTTAATAGAATGGATTGTTGTTTATTTTATTTCCCTCTTTAGAAAGTAATCATTATGTCTTCATCTACAACTTTCAGTCAACCCAAATCAAGATGGTTGCTACAACTAAGCAGTCTTACACGTATAAATTGCTGCAACCCAGTCAGTTTTACAGACATCGAGCAACAAGTTTCCATGAGATCTCACGTGATATTTTTCATATCATTGAACAAAACTGTTGTAACTCTGTCCATCCTCACCACAGAACGATGTCAGTTTGAAACACGAACACTGAAGGCACCGTGTGACTTTTAGTCCTTCAAGTGTTAAATCTGTCTTTACTAGGGTTACTTTTATTCTCATCTGTTAAAGATGAGTAGTGTAAGTTCTAGCTTTATGGGGAGCTTTCTTATATGTTAGCAGACTATGTTTCCAAGTTAAATAATATTCTTCAACATTAGTGGAGCACCATTTTCTCTCCTGGTTTCTAGATGCTGCTTTAAAGTGCGTAACTCAGAGTTGAACCAAGGAGCCAGTTTCCTCTGATTGTCCGTAGATACAGAACTTTAATAATTGGCTTTTTTATGTACAGTATGTGAATGTTCCTGTAAAGTGCCCTGAGACAACTTTGTAGTGATTTGGCGCTATATAAATAAACTAAAATTAATTGAATTGAATGTTTTTTAGAAAAACACATCTGTTCTACTTCATTTTAAATATAGCTGGAATAAAACAAATGTGCATCAACTTGAGTTCATGTTACTAGAGTTACCAGACAGATAAGTTTTTGTTTTGTGTTTGTTTAGATGACGACCTGCGTCAGTCCTGATTAAATTCCATTTATTTCTAATATGCAAATGAGCAGAAGGTGTGTCCATGTCCTCGATTGGTTTATACAGTCATGACTTTGTGCTTTAGGTGGAATGAAACCAAACAAGCTGTTCTCTCTGCAGTGATTGTATTTAATCAGTTTTATCAGTGATTGATAAATTATTTGGGATTTGGTGGAGTTTTTATCAAAGAGGTCTTTTTTCCTCAGAATGCAGAAGAGGACGATAAAAAATAAAAACAATACAGAGATCTGATAAAACACATGAAGGATGCTGATTTAAAGCATTTTAAGGATATACTGGATAAAGAAAAGTAGTTTTGTAAAACTGTACATTTCAAAATTGTATACAATGAAATACTAATCCATCCAGCCATCCATCATCTTTACCTGCTTTGGTCATGGGGGTCACTGGGGCCCATGTCCAGCCATCCTGTGTGAGAGGTGGGGGACACCTGGATAGTTCTCCAGTCCATCACAGGGACACATAGAGACAAACGAGACAACCTCTCAGGGACAATTTAGAGTTACCAGTCAGTCTAACATGCATGTTTTTGGTCTGTGAAGAAAACCCACATAGCACGGAGAGAACATGTAAACTCCACCCGGAAAGTTCCTCCTCAGGGGTTTGAATCGTCGAACATTTCGCTGAGAGGCGGCAGCTCTACCTACTGAGACACCGTGCCATCCAAATACAAAACCAGCAATATGCAAACCAGTCTCCAACCCTCACATTTACCAGCACTAACACCTTCAGTGTTCAACTTTCTGCTTTAAACCTGAAGGCTTTTCCTAAAGTTTGCTAAAATACAAAGAGTTTAAAATTATTTGGAAACTGTGGGAACTGTGTGGTTGTAGAGAATGTGAACGTTTGCCCAGCTTCCTGCAGAGAGGATCTGTGTGTTTTTTGTGTTTTTCTTGTCGTCTGTCCAGCCTTCATCAGCGTTTTCCCCTTGTGTTGTCAACTCCTGCTGCACCTGTCCCTCGTTGTCCTCCCCCAGGTGTTTATCATTATTCCCTCGTTAGCGTCTCTATAGTCTGCGTCTCCTGGTTGTTCCTCCGTAGGTGGATTGTCCTGTTTAAGGCGTCATGTTCTGTCTCCTCGATTAATGTACATTTAGCTGCCACATCAGCCTCTTGTTTATTTAAATAAATATATTTCTTTATTTTATCCTTTGAGTTCCTCGAGTTCTGTCCACACTTTGGGTTCGACTAAACACCAGAACGTGATTGAATCTGCTATATGCTGAAGATTTGTGGGGGAATCTCCAAACTTTGGAAGAATTAAACCACGCAGGAGAGATCATGTGTGACATTACACGTGCACAACCGGATCACTTTGTTGCAGATCTTGTGTCTGTGCTGAGGCTGGATTTGATCTGCCAAAGTGAGGACGGAGACAGAAGCTTGGCAGAAGGATGAACTACAGCCTCTGCTGATGAAGGTGACTCAGAGGAAGAGGAGCAAGAAGTACGGGACACATTCACGATGAAAAGCAACATAGTTTCAGTTCGTTCTCATTTCAATGTAAAGTTGTCGGCAGGGTGGAGTGGAAAATATATTTCACATGGCTCCAGGAGCCTCAAGCCTGTTTACCAAGAAGCTCACAAATTGTATTTTCAATTTAAATAAAATGTATTTATGTTTTCATGTCCAAGATAAATCAAGCTGATTGTGTGTTATTAAAACCCTAAAAACGATTACCTTGTTTGGCTTTCAGAGATAACGAGGACTAATCATCCAGGTAATGATGCTATTACACGTAATTATGATGACATTTGTGGCCCAAGTTAATATTAACCCAGATAAAACTGTAAAGTCATAAACATGAATAGGAGTTATAAAATGCTGCTGCCAGAGTCTTAACTGGAGTTACTGGGAGAGATCATATCTCTCCAGTTTTAACTTCTCTCCACTCAATCCAGACTTGAATTTAAAATCCTACTTCTAAACTGCAAAGCTCTCAACAACCTAGCTCCATCTCATAGTTGGGATCTTGTTTTTTCCATATTTTCTTAACAGAGCACTTCGCTCTCAGGCTGCAGGTTTACTCACGGTTCCTATGGTTTCCAACAGCAGAATGGGAGGAAGATCTTTCAGTTGTCAGGCTCCTCTCATGTGGAACCAACTTCCAGTTTCTGTCCGTGAGGCTGACTGCTGCTTAGTGCTGCTGTTAGACGTAATGTTTTTATTGTTTTTATGCTATTAGTGCTTAGCGTATTTTGATATTTTAAATGTAAAATACTTATATCATTTTAATTTTTTTCAGTAATCTTTGATTATGATGTCAAAAGTGCAACAGAGAACGTCAAATGGGACCAATCAAACTTTTTTTGAGGAACCTGCAACCAAGAAAACATGTTGGGTATCTAACTTGAGTTCATGTAGATTCTGAAACCGGCCCTTATTTTGAAAAAGGTTTAAATTTTGGCCCCTTTTGTAAGTGGGTTTGACACCCCTGCCTTAAATGAATTGTTAAAATTGAATAGTTTTCATTTTATACCATTTCTATCTTAACATGTGCCTCTTGACCTGCCATTGTGTATCTGTTCCCAGCCGGTCGAAGCAGATGGCCACTTGTCCTGAGCCTGGTTCTTCTGGAGGTTTCTTCCTGCTAAAAGGAGTTTTTCCTTTCCACCGTCTCCATTTTGCTTGGTCAGGATGGGAGACTGTGACGAAGTGAAGATGCAACACAATCTGCTGCTTCCTTCCTTCTTTAGAAGATAATTTTACTAATCCATCCATCCATCCATCATCTTCCTCTTGTTCTGGACTCAGGTCTCGGGGGCAGCATCTTGAGCAGGGAGGTCCAGACATCTCTCTCCACAGCCTCTTCCAGCTCTTCTGGGAGGACTCCAAGGCGTTCCCAGGCCAACAGAGATACATAGTCTCTCCAGAGTGTTCTGGGTCTTCTCTAGGGTCTCCTCCCAGTCAGACATGCCCAAAGCACCTCCCTAGGGAGGCACCCAGGGAGCATCCTTACCAGATGCCTGAACCACCTCAACTGGCTCCTCTGGATGTGGAGGAGCAGTGGTTCTACTCTGAGTCTCTCCTGATAACTGAACTTCTCACCCTGTCTCTACGGGAGAGTCCAGCTACTCTGCAGAGGAAACTCATTTCAACCTCCTGGATCCATGATCTCATTCTTTCAGTCTCTACCCAGAGTTCATGACCAGAGGTGAGGGGAGGAACGTAGACCGACCGGTAAACAGAGAGCTTTGTCTTACAGCTCAGCTCCCTCTTCACCACAATGGACCGGCACAGAGTCCACAATACTGTAGACGCTGCACCAATCCGTCTGTCAATCTCACGCTCCATTCCTCCCTCACTCATGAACAAAACCTTGCGATACTTGAACTCCTCCACTTGAGGCAGAACCTCACCCTCGACCTGAAGGGAACAATCCACCCTTTTCCGGTTGAGGACCACGGCCTCAGATTTGGAGGAGCTGATTCTCATCCCAGCTGCTTCACACTCGACTGCAAACCGCTCCAGTGAGAGCTGAAGATCACGATGACGCCAACAGGACCACATCATCTGCAAATAGAGATGAATCCTGAGGCCACCAAACCAGACTTCCTCCACCCCCTGGCTGCACCGAGAAATTCTGTCCCTAAAAGTTATGAACAGAATCGGTGACAGCGGGCAGCCCTGGTGGACTCCAACTCCCACCCTGAAGGGGTCCGACTTACTACCAGCAATGAGAACCAAACTCTCGCACCACTTGTACAGGAACAGCACCTGAAAACATGTCTCCATGTTTTCAGGTGCTGTCAATTTTACTAATTGATTTTTTAATAATGTACGTGAACGTTTCTGTTCAGTATCCTGAGATGACGTCTGTTGTGACTTGGCGCTATATAAATAAACTGAATTAAATTAAGTGTATCACAAAACCGCAAAGAACAACAATTAAATTAAAAGGATTTTTAATTGTGGTTTGATTGCACATTGTCATACCTGTAGAGGGACGTTACGGCAGCGTGCTTCAATGCATGAGTTAACATCTCAGGTATGTTCATTGTTTCTACCTGTTGTCTGTCCTCAGCCTAGTTTCACAAAGAGATCAAAGTTACTTTGAAGTTTAAGGTCGTTCCAGCAAACATCCAGCATCCCCTCCCCTTTCTGGGTGTGGATGAGGAGATATAAAGGAAGAGACAGATTGGAGCTCTCATCACTGAGACATCAGCAGAGGAACTGGTCCAGCGGCAGCAAAACCTCCAGAGAAGCTCCTGCTCAGAAGCCTTCATCATCGTCACCTTTCAGACAGGTAAGAGATGGTTTTGAGTGTGTGAAGATCAGACCAGAGTGATTATGTGAGAAGAACAGTGTCATCCATAGATGACTCTCGACTTTGTGTCTTCCAGCTTTTATCAGCTGTGTGGAAAGCTTTCAAGATGTTCCACCACCTTTGTCTTGTCATTGCACTGACAGGTAATTAAAAACAAATAATTTATTGACCAATAATCAATGTATTTGCTGTGGTGAGAGCCTCGCTCCTCTCATGTGTCTCCATATCTTCAGGCGCTGCTGTCGCTGAAATCTGCACCGTGACGGGTCCCACGGTCATTGACTTCCAAGGTTTTCTAAACAATGTGGTGGATCGGTGTGGGCACTCTCTCATGTCAGACACGGACGCTGGCTTCGAGGTGCTCGCTCACTTCCTGGAACGCCGCCGTAAAGACGTGAGCTTTGTGGACAGCGTGACTCTGTCCGTGGCTGGTTCTGGAGACATTGTCCTGCAACAAGGAGGCAGAGTCCTGGTGAGTTACAGACAACCGTCCCCATCCACCCCTGTCCCCCAAACTCCTGCAGAATTTCATCTTCTTCTCTGTGACGTTGAACTCATGGTGGTCCATTTTAAACTAACCCACCGAGTTTCCTGAACCTCGTCTTCTGGATGCAGGTGAACGGCGCAGTGGTGTCCCTCAGCAAGACAGTGAAAAACTTTTTTGGCATTGACATTTATGAGGATGAAACCGGAGTTACTGCAGAGCACATCACCTCCGAATACACCGTCACCGTGTTCTTTGACGGCACCACAGCACAGATCTCCACGGACGGTGAAAATAAGTCTCAAATTTCTGCATATTTAGTTTTGAACAAACTGTGTTGGCTCAGTTTTAACAGCAGCTGTTGTCTTCTCTGTGGTGAACCTTTCAGAGCCTCATAACTCCACTCTGACCGGTCTGTGTGTTGACTCCAGGGACATTTCCAGCCCCGCCAGGTACCGCCTGGTCTCGCTGACTGCTGAATGAACGCATCTCTGTCAAACGATGCTTCTCGTGCGGATGAGTCCCGTGAGGGGGGAGAGTTGTATAAACTTGTGCTGTTCATCTCCCCTTTAGCTGCAAGCTGCACACAGAAGCTCCGGACAGCTCGGTCAACTGTGCAGCAGTGATCAAACGGTGAGCAGATCCTCCTGGTTGTCACACGATGTTAGCATTAACGAAACAGAGAAAACAAACGTTTAACGCTTTAATCGTTCCCTCGTTGTGTTGAACAGCTGCAACATGTTGACCAAACACTCCTTCGCCTCCTGCAACGCCGACGTTGACCCGACGCCCTACATGCAAGCCTGCCAGGCAACGATGTGCAGATATCCTCTGCAGGACGCTCTCATCACGCAGTTCTTGTGGGCCTACGCCCGGGCCTGCGGCCTGAACGGACACAGTGAACTGGGAGACTGGTGGACCAAGGCTGAATGCTGTAAGACCTGCTTCCACAGAACGTTGATGATTTTTAACTTCAGCGTAATGTTCCCGTGTGTTCTGCTGCAGCTCCACCGAAGGCCTACTGTCGGGACGTAATCTGCACTGATCATGAGTTCTGTGGGTGGAAGTTCAGCGGAGAACCTGCCTGCCTCTGCAGAGCTGAGTTCGCCTCCAAGTACAAAGAGTCCAACACTCTGGGTATGTCTGTGACGTTTGCACAAGACGGCTGAGGGACTGGCAGACGTTCTAACTGTTCGTATTTTGATTAAATGTGTCTGTAGGTGAGCCAACAGTCTGCAAGCACAGCTCTGCCTCGTTGACTCTGGCCAAGTGTCTGATGGAGGAACGAGGCATCGACTACAAAGACTTACATCTGAATGACCAGAGATGCAGGGGGAAGCTGGACAGGAAGTCCAACATGGTGACGTTCAACTTCAACACCGAGAAACTCTGTGGAGCGGAGATCACCGTAAGTTTTCACTTTCAGCTGAATACACACAAACTCTCCTGCAGCTCCTTTAAAGCTTGGATTTTTTTGTTTGTTGTGACGTAGATCGTCTGTTAAGTTCGTTAAAATCAACCATGACATAAATAAATAGGTACCGCTTTACAATAAGGCTCCCCTTATAGATAATAATAAACATTTTATAGATATGTTATTAATTCCTCTATAAATACTTTATAAATTGTTAATAACTGCTTATCATGCATTAATTAAAGGTGACAGAGACAAAACTGGCCAGTTTCTTGCCAAATCTGTTCACCTATATATTTCATCTACAGTTCTTATATTAGACATTTCTTTAGCATATACCTTTATCACTACATCATAAGTATCTACAACCAATATTACATCCTAAAATATTAAGTTTACAAATGCTTATTGTGCTCACGGTGTAGTAACTTAGCCTGAAATGTTTCATATAACAACTCTAGATGAAATATATAGGTGAACAGATCTGACTCACTAATTGGCAAGAAACTGGTCAGTTTTGTCTCTGTCACCCTTAATTAATGCATAATAAACAATTTTTAATGATTTTATAAAGTGTTTATAAAGGAATTAATTACATATCAATAAATTACTTATTAGCCATCTATAAGGGGAGGCTTACTGTAAAGTGGTACAGATTTGTCTCTCTGTTAACCTTAATTATTGCATAATAAGCAGTTATTAACGATTTATAAAGTGTTTATAGAGGAATTAATAACAAAACTATAAACTATTTTTTTAGCATCTATAAGCAGAGCCTTATTGTAAATTGGTACAGTTTTGTCTCTCTGTCACCCTTAATTAATTCACAATAAGCAGTTATTAACAATTTATAAAATGTTTATAGAAGATTTAATAATTTAAATATAAACTATTTATTAGCCATCTATAAGGAGAGCCTTATTGTAAAGTGGTATCGTTTTGTCTCTCTGTCACCCTTAATTAATGCTTAATTAACGATTTCTAAAATGTTTATAGAGGAATTAATAACATATCTATAAACTATTTTTTTAGCATCTATAAGCAGAGCCTTATTGTAAAGTGGTACAGTTTTGTCTCTCTGTCACCCTTGAGTAATGCATAATAAGCAGTTATTAATGATTTATAAAGTGCTTATAGAGGAATTAATAACATATCTATAAACTATTTTTTTAGCATCTATAAGAAGAGCCTTATTGTAAATTGGTACAGTTTTGTCTCTCTGTCACCCTTAATTATTGCATAATAAGCAGTTATTAACTATTTAAAATATGTTTATAGAGAAATTAATAATGTATCTATAAACTATTTATTAGCATCTATAAGGAGAGCCTTATTGTAAATTGGTACAGTTTTGTCTCTCTGTCACCCTTAATTAATTCACAATAAGCAGTTATTAACAATTAATAAAATGTTTATAGAGGATTTAATAATTTAAATATAAACTATTTATTAGCCATCTATAAGGGGAGTCTTATTGTGAAGTGGTACCAATCAATATATCGGTGTGAAACCGTAAATGAGCTTTTCTCAGTTTGTGCCTTTGGACGTGTCGCCCCGCAGTACAACAACAACGAAATCAACTACACGAACGCCATCATGAGCCAGAACACCACCGACCTCATCGTTCGCCACGACCAAGTGTTCATCGAGTTCTCCTGCTTCAACTCTCAGCCTGAACTGAAGAGCGTGTCCTTCAGAGTCAAAGACAACAGGTGCTGCTTCTGTTTTCTCATCAATCACAGCTTCTTGTCAGCTGGTTGGAACGGTTTTGGAGCTCAAGGCTGATGTTCTTTATCTTCTGCAGCTATGTGTCGACAGTAAAAAGTGGAGAGTGGACGTACAACGTGTCCATGACCCCCTACATCGATGAGAAATGCTCTAAAGCTGTAGCTACAGATACTGACGTGAAGCTCGACCAGAAGGTCTGGGTGGAGCTGAGGACCAAGGGGCTGGACGCAAAGAGGATCGCCGTGGTGACCAAGTCCTGCTGGGCCACCAGCGAGCCGAACCCTGACAGCACGCCACGATACGACCTGATCGTCGACGGGTGAGACGCTCCTCAAGGTGCTCAAATGTGCTCAAATATGCTTTCTGGTAACATTTAATTTAAAATTGCTCTTTTTTTCTGCTCAGCTGTGCCAACCCTGATGATGGCACGGTGCACGTGAAGGGGAACGGAGTGGGAACCTCCAACCTCTTCTCCTTCAACATGTTCGAGTTCACCAGGCATCCTGATAACGTCTATCTGCACTGCCAGCTCCAGCTGTGCATCATAAAGGACAACATCTGTGTCCCGGTACGATAAATCTGTGCATCGCAGATTTTAAACTCCTGAATCAGACGAGCAGCTCTTTAATAATTCAAGTTGAACTGAAAAGCTTGAATCGCCACTGAGCGTCTGTATTTTAGGCTCAAGTTCTCGGCTGTTATTTTCCAGGTTTGTCCTCAAAATAAACGGAGACGGAGATTTGTCAAGGCCAAATACACCCAGGGGGCGTTCATCAGCATGGGCTGGGGCAAATAGGTGAGACTCTTGTTTTGAAATTAGCACTGATTTAATGACTTCCGTTCATCTGAACAGTACAGCACGTTCACCTGATGAGCTTACGGTTTCGATTTTGGTTTTGGAGCAGGAGCCAGTAGTTGAGAACGAGCTAGAAGCCTGGAGATAGACAGAGCAGGGAGTGAAGGATAGTTAATGTTTTTGATTTTATCATCCTTTCAGACGGTTTCCATGGTGACCCTGACTGAGCGACAGGCTGCCGACCTTCATGCCGACCTGAGTCCTGATGCAGAGCGACGTGAGGGGACGAGCTCGTTTCCAGCTGCAGTGATGACTCACAGCTGGAATTAGCTGAAATTTCCAAGCTTTTTGATTTAGAGGAGCGTGTGGGTAAACTGTACGCTGATGAAAACCTGATTTATGTAAGCTTTTATAATTTATTGAAATGCTAATTTAATTTATTGTACATTGTAAATTCTCAAGTTTATCTGTAGGTTCTGGAGGAGCGTGAAAATGATCAAACACTCCAAAAGGTTTTAAAAGTTTTTCTTTTAACTCAGGGTTCAAGTAGAAAACATTCAGCTGCGCCTACTTTTATGTTTTACTATTTATGATTTAACAATCTGTTTCTTTTATATGTGACTTTTCCTAAAGCTTTGTAAAATAAAAAATATGCAAATAAAAAACTTTTGAGACAAAACAAAAAAAAAAAGCAGAACCTTTTTATTCAAGATCGATATAAAATAGTTTTACAGAGACGGTTCGGTCAAAATGATCTAACCTCCCGTCCCAGTCCAACTACAACAAGAGAAAACATGCTTTATTTATTAAACTGTTCAAAATAAAAATGTTACAGAAAAAAATCTGCACGATACATAAATATATGTTTAAAACACGCAAAAAAATGGTTATTTTAAAAGATCGACATTTATGTGTAAACAGTTTAGCTTGATATTTATCACAGTGACAAAAAAACAGTCTGTAATAAAATAAAATAATAATATAATATAATATAATAATAATACTGTGCCTGAAATAATTTATTTTCCACGTGCGTCCCGTGGGCTAAGTGATGCTGTATAGATGGTAGTTTTTAATTTTCCCTCTTGTTAAAAGTAGCTAAAATAACTAAATAAATCCAGTTTGGTTCTTGGCAGAAAGTTAGACCTGTTGGAGAGAGGACTTCTGAATAAACTGAATAAAATATAAAGAATTATTTGGCACCTTTTCCCCTTTTCAAGGAAACTCCGCAGTAAAGTTAATCTATATAAATTACCACTGTTGGACCTTTTCTGGAAGAACTAACCCTGACTGGACTGGTCGGACTCGCGTGGACCAAACCCGGTTCTGACGAAGAAGAATCTAAATTTGGATTTTTGTGGAAAAGACAAAACTGACAGAAACTCAGAGATTGAACGAACGTTGTGCAACAGGTTTGCTTCAAACGACTGTTAGCAAAATATCTCGTGAATGACTGGACTGAGTTCAGTGAAACTCGTGGAGTTATTTTACTTTTGGAATCAGCCGATGAAAGATGGCCGCTACAGCACGTTGGCCTACACATGCACAAACATCTGTACCTCTGTGGATTTCACACCGACCTGAAGTTCTGCTTTAAAGTAACTGAGTCATTTTCCAAACAGATCGTGCGCAATCATCCAGTAAACTATATGAGATTACATTTAATCTGAAAATTATATTTGTCTTAAACTCTTTTATGAAAGGTGGAGTAAAGTATTGTCTGAAGAGATGAAAGGCTGAAGTCTGAAGCTGTGACCTCATCATTACATTAAACACGTGTAGCCTGGTCTGAGCTGTCAATCAGCTGCTGCTGCGCTGAATGAGTCAGTCCTGATGATCAAATGTGAAACAAGGAGCGGAGCTCTGCTGGAAAACAACCTCACAAGTTTGTAACATCAGTACTGATCAAAAACAGTATTAGAGTTATTTTACACGTTTGTTAATGTGGTAAAGAATCCATCCATCCAGAGTTTAAAAATCACTTTTATGATATGTAATATTATGAGATATGGATATAATACATGGGCAGCACGGTGGCTCAGTTGGTAGAGCTGCTGCCTGTCAGCGAGCAGGTTGCCCCAGTTCAAATCCCAGCTGGGAGCCAGGTTTTCCAAGCCTTGCTCTCCACTCACGCCCCTCTGCACAGTCCAGCTCATTCTGTCTACCTGTTCCAAGCACTTTAAGCCTCACAGTCACTCTCTGCCAGATTATCAAACCCGTTTGTAGATGACCAGCGTTCTTGTCGCAGTTCTCTCTGATCATCTTGTCTTGACCCCACGTCTGTCTTTTGGATTATCGACCTGCCAGCTCCTTGCTTGTTACTCTATCGCCCTTCTGATCACAGTACTGAGCTTCCCTTCTGAACCTACGACTACGCCACTGATTTATGGTACGAGAGATAAAAATATTTTTAAGTGATTAAATAAAGAGGTTGATTTTTTTTTTTTTTACATTTTCCAGAGCTCCTGAGAGGATTCTTTAATTATTATTCTCAAATCAATTACCTTTATTTTGGTTTCCCTCCATTCTTTTTGGTTTGATCACATGTTCTGTTCTTTGTTAAATTATTTATCTTATTTTATGACTCTGGCTCAGAAAACACCATCAGGCTTAATTTTCTAATGTATGTAACAAAAAAATGTTTATATTTTATGTTGATCAAAAGATAAAAGTTATAATCTGGATTATCTGGTTGTTTTGATGTTTTGTGGTTAGGTTTTATTTCAGCCTGTTTTCTTGTGACTTCAGATCTTCTCTCACCTGCATCGTTTCATTGAACTCAGCTGTTCCTCATTTTCTCATCAGCCTCAGACCCTAAACTGTCGGCCCGGGGGCCAAGTCAGGCCACAGGTGAGCTCAGTTCGGCCCAACAATGGGTGCATTTTTAAATAAAACTAGATTTAAACCATAAAACAAACTTAATGAGAATAACTGCTGGATGTCCGGCCCCTGAGCTCTTCTCTAACTGTTTTTGCTCGTTCTGGCGCGTCAAGACTTTGAGTTTAGTTTTATAATTGTTTACTTTTGCTTCTAAACTCTTTGAGTCTGTCTGGATTCCTGGGTCAGGATCCTCCTCAAACCTGGACAAGTTTTCAAATATCTGATTATCCTTCGGCGGCGCAGAAGAACGCATGTAAAAAATGGACATTTAAAGAAAATCCCGTATTTATTTTAGATTTATTCAAGAAAAAAAAAACAGACAAACAAACAAAAAGGAAACAACTCGTAGTCTCATCCTCCTCGGTTTTAACCTTGACTGACCTTCACAGCTCCGACCGTTTAACAGAGCGAACTTTCAAGGAAGATTTTGACGGTAAATCTTTGTGTCTGAAGACCTGGACAGAAAACATCAAAAACACGTTTAAAAAATATACGTTCAAATATTGAAGTACTCCGAAAAAGAAACAGGAAGTCGAGTCACCTCTTCCAAAACCACTTCCATCTGTGAGCGTGACAGCTGGGTGTGAGACTCCACGTGCACAGACATCCTGAAAACATAACCTGTTGGCAAACACTTAGATTACACCAAACTCAACATTCAACAGCAACAATCTGTTTCACTGCACTTTATCAGAGAGAACGTGTTTAAATCTGCCGTGGCTCAAATACGTGCACGTACTTGGTTCTTGGGAGGTTTCAGCAGGACGACGTTTGTTGACATGGAAACAAAAACACTGAAGTCAGTTATTATTTTTATTAACTGATAAACTTCTTGCACACATTAGGACAAAGCAAATTTCAAAATAAAACTAATTTAACTGCACTGTAGCTGCACAACTGGGACGTTTTGCTGTTTAATGTTTATCTTTTAAAAAGAGTTTGATGACTGAGTTTTGAGGTCCTCCCCAAGAAACTTTTGACTATGCTATTTCCTGCATTCTTCTCATCCTCATCAAACCCCTGATATAGCTACAGTAGTCCCTCGCTACGTCGCGGTTCGACTTTCGTGGACTCGCTCTTTTGCGTTTTTTCAACAATTGTCAACTTTAATATTACTCACACGACTGGGATGCTACGAGATAAAAAGTTAACGAAAAACTTCGGACATACGCCACCATTTTGTAGTTTTCTTTCAATAAGCCTACACTGTAATGCCAATCAAAAGAACTACACTACCCAGAAGGCAACAGTGCTACCGGCTGATGCTTTCTGACGAAACGGAGGGAACGTTTTGCAACACAAAAGTGAGAAGTAATGATCTACAGTATCTATGAAGCTCACAGAACTGGCAGGAAAGTCTGAGCTAATCCTGAAGCTCAATGATCCACAACCTGGACGGAGCGGTGGGCTTCGTCTGCCGAACCGGAACAGAGCTGCTGTTCTGCAGAGCTGGTTTTGCAGAACTGTGCAGTACATATGTTGTTAAAATGACGTAGGTTTAAGAGTTCAGATCATTGCAGGAGTGTGGGAAGGGTTTATAAAGCCTTAAATTATATATAAATACTAAAATAAATATAGCGTTCCTACTTCACGGTTTTTCACCCCCCGCAATAATCGAGGGACTTCTGTGCCAAAAGTTTTCAGTAGCAAAGCTGAAAAATGTATCCAGCCTTCAGCTGTTACCAAACTCTGCTGCTCGTGTGCTAACCTAGACCAGAAGGCAGGCGCACGTTACACCTGTTTTAAAATCATTGCATTGGCTCCCTGTGCGTCTCTGGTTGATTTTAAGATTCTTTTAATGGTTTTTAAATGTCTCAATGGTCTTGCACCATCTTATCTTGCAGAGCCGCCCTATGAACCCTATGAACCCCCGCGGACACTAAGGTCCTCTGGCACTGGACTACTAACAGTTCCAATAGTCAGAACTCACACTTACGGTGAGGCTTCTTTCCAGTACTATGGCCCCCGTCTGTGGAATAGTCTGCCGGAGAACCTGAGGGCCGCACAGAACGTTGTTGTTTTTAAGAGCAGGCTCAAGAACCATCGCTTTAACTGCATTTCCTGAACTGGTTCATTTCTGTTCAGTCTATACATTTTCCATACAATTTTATTTTATTTTATTTTATGTGTGTGTTGTTTACTTTTATTTTGTGGGTTTATTGTTTATAATTCTGTACAGCACTTTGAGCTGCTTTTAGTATGAAGAGTGCTTTATAAATAAAATTGATTGATTGATTGATTGATTGAACCAGCTGAATCATCTAACATCTCAGGGCAGCAGGTCTACACCGTGCTCTTCATTATAATGATTCTAATAATGTTCAGTCAGTGAGTAATCCTACCTGCCCGCACTGGATTTGTGGTTGCTGCTGGTGGTGGGGGGGCTGTACCTTGCTTCGGACTCGGAGGGTCTACAAGACAAAGTTTCCCAGTCATGTGGTGTCACATCA